ACATTAGAAATTTTGATTACTCAAATTAGGACTAAATTAAATGAAAATTAAACTTTATTATCAAAATTAAGAATTAAATTAAAGAATTAAAAAGATGAGATATGTTAAAATTATAATTAGGAATTTAGGATACTATAAAATTTATTTTTAAAAAATGAGGTGGGGCGTGGGAGTGGCCCATGCTCCACATTCCATCCATTCGGCCCATGCCCAATCGTTTTATCACTACCAGGGTTTCTAGAAGGTGCACCAGCGGCCAACCATATTCCTCTCTTCGCCTCTTCGGTGTCTTCAGTCTTCACTCTCATTTCATTTCCTCTATTCTCCGAGCCAAGTTAACCCATTCGGCCATTCCCAAGCCGAATAAGCAACTGCATGTTGCATCTTCATTTGCTTACCGTCTTTCAGATGAGGAAGGTACGCCTATCGAAGAAAGGAAACCCGGAGGCCGGAACCATCCCTCGCTTCAGAACAGTCAGTGGGAAGGGAAGAACACAATTTTTTTCTCTTCTAATTTCTAAACCTAGATGGCTAGATCTAGTTTCTTTTTACTAAACAATTAATCCAAAACAACCACAAAAAATTATATTGATTTTTTACCTTCTTAAATGGAAGCGGGAAGCCTTCTCAAATCTCAACTTCTTTACCAGCGGCGAAGGTCGACGGACAGAAGACTTCACCCAAGACAAAAACTTTGTTTTTCCAGCTCTTCCCCTTCCCAATTGATTTTTGGTAAGTTGAATGTTGGACTGTTAATCTTACTCTTTAAGTCTTTCTCTTCAAATCTATGTTTTGTACTGAATTTTTTTCTTCAAATTTCTTTAATTTTTTTCTTTCTTTTCAGTATACTTTTTGCTTGTATAGATTGCTTTTGCACACTGTAACTTGCAGGGAATATATTCCTTGCATTTCGGTTAATTTTTGTTTTTGTTTTGGAATCAGGTTGGAATAATAGGTATATCGTCCCGTTATCGGCACAATTCACCTTTATCCGTTAAATTGCCGTTATTAGTGTGAACGTTATCCACCGTAAAAATTATCAATACCGGTTTCGAACAGCAGCGTTATCATAAAATTATGGCCACTATCATGTTTGCGATCTGTTATTTGAAAGCCTGATTAAGAATGTAAGAGTAACAATGAGCATGTGAAAGAGAAAAAGTACCGACTGGAAGGAACGTCCATGTTGCAGTCCTTTCTTCAATATCAGCAACTACTTCATCCTTCATACGAGAGACAAAAGGATCCCGCGTAAGCGTTTGAAGGTCAAGAACCAGCACATGCTATGCTGCAATGCTTTCCAAACATGATCCATAGTATATAAATAAGCAATCCTAATCATAACAGTAAGGATAAACTAAATGACCTCTAAACTTGATGAAACACGTAACTAAACCTACACATGATTGCACGTGCAACAATAACCATATGGAATGGATTTGAAAAGGCTTGAATTAAAAAAACCAATGTGACTAACTCACAAGAAACATTCTTTTAAACCGTTTGTCCTATGAGGAAACAGATTCTTTTGCAAAGACCTGGCTCTCGGATTAAGTTTGGATGAATCATGAAGGAAAAATAACGCAATGCATCATCAGTGACATTTCGGAATGCTACTGCTTTCAGTGCTAATACTTCAGAATAAAACTTCTAGTATAACATCAAACACTTGGCGTGGTACCCAATTAAGTGGTTAAAAACTCATAAGCACTCCACAAATTTCAGTTCATATCAAATGCATGTTCTCAAAAAACCAGAGGAAACTCAAACAACTAACAATTATTACATGATTATAAATTCGACAATTCGAGTCGTTGACTCAGCTTTTCTCTCTTAAATCAACTTATATTGCACCTAATTCCACAGCTTTAAAGCTCAAAAAGAAATGAAATGCAATTCATTTTATACCTGAGCCATGTCAAGAAACATGCCGGAGCTGGTTCGAACTTCACTTTCAGTACTCTGGCCTGATTCATTATCTACTACCATTGACTTCTCTAACTTATAGCCTGGAATCAATACAATTCTTTAATAAGTCGAAATTCTTCCACGAATTAGGAGTGAAAAAGGAAAGAAAGATGGAAGATTGTTGCTTACCAGAATAATAAGGTGATCACATTCCTCACTTGATAAAAATCCTTTGCAAATAAAAGCCCTGCAAGAACAAATAAAAGGTTTCGTAAATTTAAAAACTTTGAATGTATTAGAGTGCGAAAAAAGACAGGAATTTGAAGTTACCTGGGTGCCGTGAGAGCTGAGTAACACGAGTGGGGTCAAATTGAACAGAAGAAGTTGCTCTTTTCATTTTGAGCACCGATCTCAGCTGGAACCAAAGCAACATGGATGAAAAGAAGAAGAAAGAATCCGATAACATACCGTGAATCCATGAGAAAAGACAAATTATTTGTTTGGCTCCAATTAAGTTAAAGAAATGGTTGGTTTGTTTGTTTGTTTTTCAATTATTATTTATTATTTTCCAATTCCATTTAAGAGTGAATTGAATGGGCGGCCATGGATATGAACAAAAGAATTTAATGTTTCCGTGAGGAACGGATTTATAAAATTTCAGCCAAAGTACACAAATGATCTATCGACTATATGATGTTACTTTGTTGAATCTTCGATTATTAAAAGTTACAAAATAATTTGGACTATAATGCACTATTTTGTTGAATCCCCCGATTATCAAAAGTTACAAAATTGTCACTTCGACTATTCATATATTCCAAACTCATCATTTTCCATTAAAAAAATTGGCGGTCATTTGAGCTGGACGTTAACGTCCTCATTAAGATATGATAAAATTTGATCTCAAAATCGCTTGAGTTGTATTTTGTAGATCAAGTCTTTGTTTATATTATATCATCGAATCAGTGCTAGAAACATTATGTTGTCGAACCAATGTTTGAAAGCAACGATGGTATCGTTGTACATCATTAAAATATGATTTTATCATATCTCGATCAGCAGGTTAACTTCCAATTCAAACGGTCATCGACTTTTAATGAAAGATGATGAGTTTGAAACATATGAATAGTCGGATGATCATTTTGTAACTTTTAATAATCGGAACTCAACAAAATAATATCTTATAATCGAGTGATCATTTTATAATTTTAATAGTCGATTGACTCAATAAAACAACTCCCTATAATCGAGGGATTATTTGTGCTTATACAAAAGATTCAGGTAGGAGTTAGAACACAGAAATTAAAAAACGATACGTTTTATTTGATATGATTATTTATTGGTAAACTATTTATATGATCATTCATGTATTATTTAGTTTCTATCTTGGTCACTCAACTACCGTTTTTCTGATGAAATAAATAACAAAGACATAACTTTTCTTCAAATTTGATGAAAAATACAAATATAAAATAAAAATGATAAGCCCGACACTGCATAGATATCATAATGGATATGTATTAGACTACTTGTATCGATTTTCTTTTTAAAATATAAATTGAAACAACCACCACCTAAAGTTAGCCTAAAATCTAAAGGGGATTAAGCCTAAGATTTGATTACCTGAAATAAGGTTTGTTTGATTATGCTCAGTAAATCAGTTCTAAGAAGGAAAGGTTCTTTATGGATTGCATGAATCTATGAGTATGTGCTTAAGGATTCCACCTTTTAGCTAGTGAGCCTGAAAGCTTCGAGCTGCTAAGTTTGGAGAAGACTTTTGAAGCTGAGGGTACTGTGGTGCATTTGGATTTCTCGAATCCTATGGTCACTGTGGCCAAGGTTTGGGATGTTGTTCGTTCCAAGAGGGACAAAGTGGAGTGGTACAAATTGGTATGACATTCTTTCCATATTCTTAAGCATTCCACTATCTCTTGGATGGTAATTTTAAATAGATTACCTACAAAAGACATGTTATATTCTTTTAGCATTAGTGTCGATGTTGGATGTGTTCTTTGTAGGAGTGAGTCAGAGTCCAAAGACCATATATTTTTGGGTGCTCTTTTTCCAAAATTGTATGGTCAGGAGTTCTTCAGGTTTGCCATTTGCAACAAGATGTCAGGGGCTATAGTTGAGAGCATGTGTGGGTACTTGCTCATCTTAAGGGTAGATCTTTACTAACAATTGTTTTGTAAATTACTTGAAATTCTTTTATTTATCATATTTGGAGGGAATGAAACTTGCGAATTTTTAAACAAAAAGCTTTGCGAGGATAGCCTAGTTCATTGTATTAAGGATACTATAAAAGGTAGAATGATAGGATTACCCTTGAGTAGAGTTAATCCTATAAATATATTTCTTTTCGTATAGAATTGACTATTTTATAGGAGAATGTCCGAGGAATGACAACTTAATTTAAGGTTAACGAAAGACACAACTGAAAATGTTAAAAAAAACATTAATATTTTTTGATTGAGCGCAACCTAAAATATTATTTTTTTAACATTTCAAGCTTTCAATAAAAAATGTTAACGTAAATGTTAAAAAATTAATATTTTAAGCTGCACAAATATTAAAATTTACATTTTAGATTGCGCTCAATTAAAAATATTAAGATTTTTCTTAACATTTTCAGTTGCGACTTTCTTTAGCCTTAAATGAAAAAACTACCCATTCTATATAGGCTCGTTTATTTGTTTGTTTGTTGTATAGGTTGAGCTAATGAATTGTATATTTTTTTTTTGGATAAATTAAAGCACACATTATAAAAAAATTTAGCCCAAAATGTATGAGCTGAAACCCAAAAGCCCCCCAAAATATTGGACCTATTTGGAATCATTCCGCAGTTCAGCCCATTAGAATTCCCAAGACTCAAAACTCCGCCGCTTAAATCTAGGGTTTATCAAAGATTCCCCAATCAGATCTATAAATAAGCAAGCGAACCCACTTCATAATCACCGTTGTCTGTCTATCTGCCTTTCACAGTTAGTGTTTCTTCGCTTCTCTTTCCAGTTTTCAAATTTATGAGGTTCGGTGTTTTCTTTTTTCCTCCATAGAATGCGTTTCCTTTTTATTACCATTTCGTATTGTTCATTGATCATTTGATGAGAAAAAGAAAACTGCAACAATAAGATTGGATATGTCATATACTCCATGATTACTTGTATTTAAGTCTCTGATGATCGTACTTTCTCAGTTTTTTTTTGGCCTGAAATTCCTCAGATATTCTGCATTTTTTCGTAATTTTTATTCCAGATTTCGAGATATGATGAGGCTTTAATTGGTCCGTGTTTCTGATTTAACCGTGACCGAAAATTTATTTTACCAATCTCTGATCTCAAACCTCATTGTAGAGTTTTATAAAAAAAATATTTCATGTTTTTTCATTTTTTCTGGGGAAGTGGTTATGAAGCTTAATTTGGGCGATATACGCTATTTCGATTTCTGGATAAAATTAGCAGACAACTTCGAGAACAAGAATGAGGGCTTGTCGTCTATTTTTTTGAAAATTTTAAATGCTTCTGCTGTGACGAATTATGAATAAAATTCACATGTCAGACTTAAGAGATTTTTTTAAAAAAAAAAATCTATGAGAAGAAAATTCATGCTTTCCGAGCAGAGTTTTGAATTTTTTTAATGATTTTTTTTGGTTTTAAAATGGTTCTAATTCATTGATTAAACAGATCCAATTGCCTAATACCTTTGTGGAAAATAACCTGCCGATTCTACGTTTTTAGCAACAGAGAACATGGTCTGGGATTCAATTGTGACTATGCATTAAGTCGCCATTAACATTGATCTTAGGTTTTTCACCCTAATAAAATATTACTCTTTCGTCAATATTTATCGATATATCATTTTCTGTATTAAGTGTTACAAAAACGTGTTTTATAGAATGTATTTTGCACATGTAGCATTCCACTTATGTGTTTTAACTAAAAGGCGTCTTATATTAATTTGATACTATATGTGTAAAATGCATTTAATAAAATTAAAAAATAAATAAAAGATGTAATTTGATTCATCTTTTGACTTTATTAGTTAGACAAATAATGAAATTAGTTCATATAGATATAATCGAAGTATATAACTTTATTTTTTTAAAGATGTGTGATAAAGAAAAAAAATATTTTTTCAACTTAAAAAAAAAGAATGTTTTCTTATTTTCTCTCATTATTAATAAATAAAGTTTGATATTTTACTTATGTCTATGTAAATTTATGTCATTACTTTTGTAAATAATATTTTTATTAAATATAGTATTTTTGTCATGCACGTGTAAGATAGGGCTTTTAAAATGCGTTTTTGGCAGATAGGCGTGAAAGGACAATATTTTAATAAATAATAATTTCTAGGATCATTTTCGAGTATGATTTATGGCCAAGTCGGATCTTGGTAGGTCGGGTAAAATCAGGTACAGATTTAGATTGATTTGACATCAGTTTCAGATCGGGTTCAAGTCATGTCAAATCAGTTCAGATTATTTTCAGTTGATTTGACATCATATCCAGATCGTGTCCAGGTAGGTCATTTTTAGTTCGGATCGATGTGAGTTAAGGTTAAAACAGTTCAGATCCAAAGCAGATAAACAACAGGTTAATTCAGCTTGGGTGGACTTCAGTCAGATCTCGTTCAGATCGGGTTACATCATTGACATATAAAATTCAGGTCGGATGTTTACCGGATACAGATTGAGTTCATTCCAGTTGTTTTTATTTTTGGATTAATTATTTTTGTCATCTTTTGTGATTGTTGAATTGTAAGTTGTAATTGTATATGATTTCGAGTAAATTAAGAGAAAAATAAATATCCATTGATCAATTTTGTAAAAAATATAAATTTAAGGAAAAAATTGAAGAAATGTAAAATTACAAATAAAATTTTAAAATATAAATTAAACAACACACATAGGTAAGGGACTAAATTGAAATAAATTTAAAATATGAGGTTTAAATTAATATAAAAATGACTAAATTAAACACATTTAAAAAGTTATAAGACAGTTACAAAAATATAAATAACAACTAACAATGGGCCAAATGAATATGCAAATATAAATTTAAGGACTAAATTGAATACATATAAAAGTGAAAGACTTAAAATTGATATAAATTAAAAAAAACAAAAAAGGATTAAATCGAAATAAATGCAAAATATGAAGAAATAATGAAAAATATAGTAAATTGTATTCATTTAAAAAATTGAAAAAAATTTAATATATATATATAATATAAGTTTATATATAAACTATATATATAAACTATATTTATATTATAAACTATATAATTATTATAAGTTATATATATATATTATGTTTATATGAACTATATATAACCTATATATGTAAACTATGTATAAACTATAAAAAGTATATAGTTTATAAACTATAATTTATATTAATATAGTATATATATATATATTATTCAAAGTGAGTGGTGTTAGAAAACTTTTTAAAATAAAGATTTTTTGTGTGAATTTTTTTTATTTTATTTGGGAATTTAGAGGGAAATTGAGAAATTTTGAGAATATAGAGAAATTGAGAATTTAGAGGGAAATTGGAAAATTTAGAGGGAATAGAAAATTTTGGAGGGAAATTGAGAATTGAGATTTTATTTAGAAAGATTTTGGGTTAATTAGGCTCATGCTCCTCCAACAATCATATTTTTCCACTTGTATTTAATTTCTTTCATTTTAGTCATGTTTAATTGTAGATTATATATGTATAATATAAGTTTGTATATAAACTTTATATAGTATATATATGTATGTATAATTAATATAAGTAATCTATAGATTATATATATATATATATATATATATATATAGAAACACTATGCATAAACTATATAAAATAATAAAATATATAGTTTATAAAAACCTTAAACCCTAAATCATGAACCCTAAACCTTTATCCTTAACACTAACCCCTGAAACTATATATAACTTATAGTACATGTATGTATAAACCATATATAGTATGTATATATAAACTATATAAAGTAAATTACTTATATAGTTTATAGAAATACTATGCATAAACTATATAAAATAATAAAGTATATAGTTTTATAACAACCCTAAACCCTAATTCATAACCCCTAAATCCTAAACTTTAAACCATAAATGTTAAACCATAAACCCTAATATAAATGGACTAGCAGTAATACATATATATTTGTAATAAAAGAGCAGGCTTATTATTGGGCCTATGTAAACTAATGTAAATGGACTAGTACTATTGCAAATGGATTTATTTTTGGGTTTTATTATTACTTACTCATAACAACAAAATAAATGGGCTATTAATGTGAATTAACCTGACATGCAACTAAAATACTAATTATGAAAATGAAATTAATATGACATGTACTACTATTTATGAACCATATAATATGCAATGTGACATACTAATTATTTAACACATAATTAATCATGTTCTATATAATTTACATTTAAATAATTTCATATAATATGTATGTATAAACCATGTATAGTATATATAAACTATATATATATATAAACTATATAAAGTAAATTACTTATATAGTTTATAGAACACCATGCATAAACTATATAAAGTAATAAAATATATAATTTATAGAATCCTTAAACTCTAAACCCTAAATCATAAACCTTAAACTTTAAACCCTAAACCCTAATATATGTATTACATGCATATATGTATATATGCATAATGTGTGTATTAATGCATGTGTACCATACATAAAAAAATATATCAGTAAATAATGAAGTTATAATTTGATTTTATGATATGTATGCATGTATCTATGTATGATGCATGCATTACATAGACTATGTGTAAATAAGATTAAAGTTTAATATTTTAATAGTTATTTTAATTTAAAAATATTATAAAAATATATTGATGTGTATGATATATGCATATATTATGTATGTATATATGTATGTATGATGCATGTATTAAAATTTTAAAGCTTTTTAATTTAAATAAATTTTAAAATTTTATAAATGTGGTATATGTCAACGAACAATTTTTTAATAATCGTGATAGATCAAATTTTTTAAAAAAATAATATTTGAAATATTAGACACATTACTTTAAATAAAATATTCATTAATAAATAATATAATTTTTTTTTTTGCATTAAGTCTCCTCAAAATTTGAAAGTAAAGCCAATATTAGTTGGCTCCGAATCACCTGCCTTTAAACTCCTCAAATCACCCACCAATATTATTTGACGCCAATATTAGTTGTCTGGATTCAATAATGGACTGCCCATTGGTATAAAAAATGTAATATTGCAAATATAAATAATTAAAGGGTAAAATATTCAAATGATCACTAATGTTTGGGCAAGTTTTCATTTTCACCACTAATGTATCAAAAGTAACAAATCATGCACTAATGTTATCATTTGTTACAAATTGGTTAGTCAACGTTAACAGCTGTTGACAGGCATGACGAAAATCACACGTGGGTCGTTAGATGATTACCTAGATGGTATAATTATAAAAATAGTCCATGTTATTTATATATTCTTTCAATTTGATCATAGTTTTAATAAATTAAAATAAATTTATCTACGAATCATGATAAAAATATATATTTTATTATAAATATACATAAGGTTATTGCTACTATTTATTGAATTAATTTTGTATAATTATATAAATTAGGTCACTAATTTTTAGTTCAATTAACCAAACTGTCATAATGTATACAATTATGCAAAATTGATTCAGTAAATAACAATAATAATCTTATGGATTATTATAAGTTCATTATTTTTAATTAATATTTTTTTTTAAATTTGGCTTAATAAACATTTTGTTCTTGTAGTCAACTAGAATCAACAATATTTTTTTTAATTTTAGTTTTATCAATTTATCATTCGTACCCATTACTGTTATCTTTGATCTATGAAACATGTCATTGATTATTACGGTATCGACGTAACAATTAAATGTGATGACATGATAATCTATGGTGTTGATGTGTTAAATGAATTTAATTGATTTTTTTAAAAAAAAGTTTAAAGGATTTATTATGTTTAAATATTTATTTAATTTTTAAACAACAAAATAAGAAATTCTTAAATTTCTTAAATGTAACAAATACAATAAGATGGGACACATTTAAAATTTTCATTGTAAAATCAAAATTCTTATTAATATATTCACATAAAATAATAAAAAATAATAACTAAATGATCATTTAAAAGCTCAAATCGGTGTCATCTTAGTATAAAGTATAACATATATAATATAAAGTAATAAAGTGTTGTTTAATATAAAGTATAAAGTATATAAAGTGTTGGTTAATTTATTCAATTTTTTTATTTTCAATTTCATGTTTGTTTAATTTGGTACTTTATATATAAAGTATAAAATATATATTATAAAGTAATAAAGTGTTTGAATATAAGTATTAAAGTTTATAAATATAAGTATTAAATATAAAATATATAAGTACTAAAGTATATAATATAAAGTATTAAACTATATAATATAAGTATTAAATATAAAGTATTAAAGTATATAAATATAAGTATTAATTATAAAGTATATTAATTATAATAATTAATATATAAATATATTTATTAATTTAATTATCATAATTAATATTTTATTATAACATTT